TTCCCTTACACCATTGGCTAACAAGGAACATAAAGAGTAAGGTTTTATATCCACTAACCTGTCATATGGCATTATGGTTTTTAAAAATGTCAAACAAGATATCAGTATATATATGCAACACCAAAAATTTAATTTGACCTCCGCCGTGTCCTGGTTATTAGCCTGTGCACATTTTACATTAACATATATTATTGGATTACAGCCTAATTATTGATGCATTTTTGTGTGCTTCAAATGGTAAAGGCGAAGCTAATGTATAAGTTCGGAGGTTGAAACTAACTAGGTACCTTTACTCCAGTACTGTACTTAAGTACAATTTAGAGGTATCTGTACTTTGCGTATTTTCATTGACTGCCACGTCATATTTTGATTTCATTACAGAGAAAGAAACTGTACTTTGTACTCACTACATTTATTTGATATTTGCTTATAATTAGGCTACACTGAATTTTGTTTTCAACATGTCCAGGGTGTACCCCGCCTCTCGCCCACAGCTGGCTGGGATTGGCTCCAGCCCCCCGTGAGTCCGTTTGGGACTAAGCGGTTTGGAAAATGGATGGATGGATGGATGAATTTTGTTTTATTAATCTCATTCAGAAACGTAGCCAAGTTATCAGGAATGGTACATAGCTTCTGTAATAAACCACACTCAGATATAAACACTTGTTTTATTGTAGTATCAGAATTAGTCATGCCAGTGGTTATATTTCCATGCTGTGGTGACTTTCAGTGTAGACAAAAGCTGGTTAGTTAACTATCATCACTCAAATCCAAACTGCTCTCAGCACAGTCCTGACCATTGTTGTTTTATGGTGTTCTGTCAGTGGCAATGGTTCCCAAAAATTTGAGTGATTATTGCGAAACAAAACAAACAAAAAAAAAAGAAAAGCCACTTCGGGTGTCCACTAAAATGCAGCAGGACTGGTGGGCCAGAGGCTGATGTCAAACCAAGACCTCACATGACCGAACCTCTATTTCAGTGAAGTACACCGGTGGACTTATTCAGCAGATAATACAAATAAAATGCATTTTAATGCCCACTACAAATGATTCACACATTGAAAATCAGCTCAATATTCCCATTTATCTGCACATTGCACCCAACAGGGATGCAGAGATCTAACCTTTATATGTAGACGTCTTTGAGTGTGGGAACCACTTGCCAGTGCACTGTCCCAGTAACCTGAGCTATGTTAACCTAGATTCTCCAACAGGCTTTCATTAAGGCCTTGTACTAAAAATAAAAACCCCCATGCATGTGATACAAAGCTGCTTACCCTTTGACTGTCAGAAAAGTATTGAAGTTTTCAAATTTATTGACATTGGACTGTGTTTATAAAGTTTGTGAGCTCTGCCTAGTGCTTGAAACGTCAGTGTTAGGAGGCAGAAACTGAAAACTGCACACAGACATGATCCACTGACAAACTATCCGTGGTGACAGCAACGAGCATGATCAGAAGAT